AATTTTTGCAAAAATTGCATTTTATCAAAATATAAAGAATTATCAATGTATCATTTGGAAGAACTGTCTGAAATATAATCTTTAAACAAAATTGAAGCAGTTTTTTGAGCAAAAAATAAAAGGATTTTGAGGAAAAAAGCCTTTAACTTTTGGGATTTATCCTGTGATCTAACAAAGCTTTTGTTTCTTTCCAGCTGGGAAATCTCAACATCCAAACACTATTAGAGGTTTCCCATTTATAATGGCTTCAAAAAATTCTCATTAAAGTTACATAAAATTAGGATTCAGACCAAATATTAATGCGTCATTTACTCAAGAATAGCGTCTTTTAAATGCCCCTGCGACCGCACTTAGTTCCTCATTTTTCCTCCATTTGACTCTTTTACTTTCTGTGATAAACTTGTGTCTAAACAATCAGTTAGCTTTCAGCTTGATACAGGAAGTTTCCAACATGTTTTTATTGACATAACCAAGAAGACAAATTAAGTCATCTCTCTGGATCTGCTTATATCAGAATGATTCAGATATAAAAATGTAGCTTTTAAAGACAGGAATATGAAAATGTGTTCGAGTCATTTTGACTAAATTCCATAATCTTCAGTTAAATTACAAAGTAGCGTAGTATACTGTAAGAAAAAACTAATAAGTAAAAGAAAAGTAGTTTTTAAAGTTTAGCCATATAAAAGCTTAACTGCCCGATTGCTTTTTACTAAAAGCTTTAAAGACATTCAGGCCATTTCCTAACAACAACAAAATAAATCTTTTATGTTTACATTGCCTGGCAGTAGGACCGCAGACGGCACATGAAAGGAAAAAGTTTTTGCCGATTGATTTGGGCTGGTATCAGTTCCAGGAAGCAGCAGGAGGATTACCGTACACTGAAGCCATCTACGTCTTTGAAAGTTAAATAAATTTTAAAAAAAAGTCTGGAGCAGGAAGAGCAGGTCAGAGAGCAGCGAGGACTGAGGAGGATATCGACTCCTGAATGAAAGGAGGAAAGGAAGCTTCACAGGTCAATACAGCCTGCAGCACAACCTGTGCCTCAGCCCTGCTGGATTCACAGCTTCCTGTCATTAGAAGCACTTTCACTCAGCTGACTGTGTGTGCAGGAAGAACCCTGAACACTTTCTGACACGGTGCATCACTTTGTAGCCTGTTGCCGTCTGCATTTTCATCCACAGATTCCCTACAAGCGCACAGATCTCTACATACAGCTGATCGAGCTTTTCTCACTGCATCGCAGAACCCATCCTGTTCGTTCCCCTCCTCTGAGTTTTGTTCTTTTTTTTTGCACGGCTCTCCTCATAAATACATAAAAATGTTTCCTGCGCTTCTTGCCACCAGCAGCTAAACACGCTCCTATAGGCTGGCAGTGACATCACTCGTGCAAAGTGTTGAATCAGTCGCTTGTGGACTCTTTCTCTGACACTCGGCGCCCTCTAGTGCTCAGAGCGAGAACTGCAGATTAAAACAGCTGTGGTTAGAAACCAGCTGCTCCAAAGAACCTTATAAATGTCACACACTGAGCCCGGATCAGTGAAGGTGAGCGAGTTTGATCTCACCCAAGCCGTCTGGTCTCTGAACACTGATGACTGTAAATTTAATTGGCTTAAAACAGTCTGAACAGCCCATTAGAGTGAATTAGACTGTAAGGCTTCCTGATTATTGACCCTAACAGGATCAGACTCAGTCTCCACTTCCAGCACTAAGAGCTGCTTAATGCAGAGTGAAAGTTGCTGTCTGCTGCTCTCAGGTTACCACAAACACATCCAGCCAGCTTCAGTTTCATTTTAGGCTTGTTCTGATCAATCTGACCTGCATTCGTTATGTTCCGAAACACGGAAACGCATCGGTAAATTGGTCAAACCTTGAACATACTATGCACAAACGTCACGCAGCTATCGGTGCCGCCTTTTCTCATCCTCACCTTGCGGCTGGTGAAGTGGGGGTGCTTCGCCAGCTTGGTGTTGAGCCCTTGGAGGAAAACCTCGTCTGTGACTTTGCCCACGTTCATGCAGGCTTCGTCCAGAACAGAGAAGATGCCTTTGTGCTGCTGCTCCACCAAGTCCACGATGATCTGATTGTTGAAGTAATCAATCTAAAAAAATAAAAAGCAGGATTTCAAAGTCTACTTCTGAAACGTAGAAAAACCAAAAGAGGTCATAAAAACCTCTTTAAAGTCCGAAAAAGGAACTTTTTATGTGCTTTTTATGAGTTTAGCTGACTTGAAGTTAAAGTTTTATGGCAAACAGAGCCTCATCAACATTTGAACCATAAAAGTGGAAAAAATCTGAGAAAAATCAGCTGCAGATACACTAAATAAACAGAAATGTTACAATTTTCCTATTTTACTTCGTAGAAACAAAGGTTTATCTACTAAACTAGAATAATTTAATTTTGAAAAATATAAAAAATAAAAAACCATCATACATGTTTCCAGGGGATGCCTTCCCTCTGATACTCCTCCTGCTCCTGCTTCAGAACCAGCTGGATGAAGAGCTGCTGCAGCTTTTCATTACAGTAGTTGATACAAAACTGCTCAAAACTTTATTAAAAAAAAGAGGAAAACATTTAATTAGATGTTACAGAACGAAATAAAAGTTTAACATCTGAAAAAGTATAAACATTTTATTTTAAAATGACCTGTTGTTCTGGAAAATTTCAAAGCCATAGATGTCCAAAACCCCAATGACCGTGTTCTTCCCGTGGACTCTGGCATCGTAGTTTTTCACCTCGATGATGTCATTGATGCGTCCGACGATCCAGCAGAACAAGCGCTCGTACATGGCCTGAGGAGAGGAGAAAAGTTTGCTGGAGTCACGACGCGTTCAAACCGGAACCACCGCAAGTGGAGTTTAAACCACCGCAGGTGGAGTTTAAACCACCGCGAGTGGAGTTTAAACCACCGCGAGTGGAGTTTAAACCACCGCGAGTGGAGTTTAAACCACCGGAGGTGGAGTTTAAACCACCGCGAGTGGAATTTAAACCACCGCGAGTGGAATTTAAACCACCGCGGGTGGAGTTCAAACCACCGCGAGTGGAGTTTAAACCACCGCGAGTGGAGTTTAAACCAACGCGAGTGGAGTTTAAACCAACGCGAGTGGAGTTTAAACCACCGCGAGTGGAGTTTAAACCAACGCGGGTGGAGTTTAAACCAACGCGAGTGGAGTTTAAACCATCGCGGGTGGAGTTTAAACCAATGCGAGTGGAGTTTAAACCACCACGGGTGGAGTTTAAACCACCACGGGTGGAGTTTAAACCACTGCGGGTGGAGTTTAAACCACCGCGGGTGGAGTTTAAACCACCGCGGGTGGAGTTTAAACCAACGCGAGTGGAGTTTAAACCACCACGGATGGAGTTTAAACCACCGCGGGTGGAGTTTAAACCACCACTAAGTTATGAATAAAAGGCAGCAGCTGATATTTGTTGTTGTTCAGGTGCAGAAATGACGTCAGGAACAACCTTGGCCAGAGCGTCTCGCCCGTAGCCGGCCTCCTGAGCCGTGTGCTGCTTCTCGATGACGTCTCGGCCCGTGGCGACCGTGCGGTAAAGCAGAGCTTTCTCTACGCTGTCCTCTTTGGTGGAAAGCAGCTCCCTGATCACAGACACCAGCTGTGTGTTTTCTATCAGGGTGATGTCACCGTCCACTCCGAACTTCAGATTGCCCTGTTAGAAAACAAAAACAAAAAAAGGGTCAGAAATCCCACGAATATCGTTCATATATATGTAATATAGCTGGTAATTTCTTCAACAATACTTTTTGATCTTGTTTTGAGACTGATTTACTAAACAAGAACTGACTGTGTAAGAATAATAATCTTGAAAATTTTATTTGGTAAGAAACTCTAAATAAGACAAAAATTGAGTCAAATCAAGTATTTCAAGAATCTTACCAAGTAAAATTTTCTTACTCCACTGGCAGAAATTTTTGACTTAATTTGAGTCAAATTGTCAAACTAACAAGACAAATAATCTTACACATTCTGAAAACAAGATTATTATTCTTACACAATCAGTTCTTGTTTAGTAAATCAGTCTGAAAACAAGATCAAAAAGACTTTTTGGCTGATGTAAGATTTAAAACTTGGTTACGTGGACATTTTTTGCAGAGTACAAAAAAATCAAAAAAAATAATATAAATTGAAAAAAACTTAATTTTTATCCAAAATGTCGAACTTCAGCAGAAATAATTTGCTGGTGTTTTAAATAAAGGTTTTCCAGCCTCTAACACGAGCGTACTGAATGTATTGACTGTACTTCTCTATGCAAAAGCCTCATTTACAAGTTCTTAGTGTGTTTATTTTGCACACACCGACGATTTCTAAACCCCCACAGACCATCTCAGCAGACCTCCTATCTGGGCTTAGACTCTTAAAATGTTATTGAAGGGGATGGAAATGTTTGTGAAGCCATATTTTCGTACTTGTTTGAGAGAAAGATGTATTTTAATCCAGGATATAGGATTATGAAATGGTCTGGAGGATGATCTTAAAAATGCTAGATCTATATACTGTATATATATTTAAGAGATACTGTATATAAAGGCTAGTTTTCTGAAGGTATATGAAAGAGCAAAATGTGAAGCTATTTGAATTGTTTTTTTGAGTTGATGTTTTTATCTTTATTTTTATTTAGTATTGTTTTGTAAATTATCTTTTCCTTGAATATATACTGGGGATAAAAAGGGCAGACATAAGGTTTATTCTTCTTCTGCTACCTTTCATTTTATTTTGATTTGTCTATTCTCTTAGTTTCTATTGTATATACCATAGTTATTTTATTTTTAATGAAATGAAAAAAAAATTGAATTGAAAAAAATTGAAAATTGAATAACATCTTATTTCTAACACATTTCTAGAAAATGTTGGTTTGTTTGATATTATTGTCCCTGTTTTTTGTTCAACTGAGAGTTTCTGCTTCAGCGACTTCACAGCAGGTTTTACTGAAAATATCTACACCTGTGGCCAAGTTTCATTTAATCGTTTTAATCTATCCAGAACTTCCCTCTTTTTGAGTAACAAAGGCTTTTATTTAATTTTTTTAATAAGTACGGAGCAGGAGTTGTGTTTTACAGGGTGTTTACCAGATGTAGGATGGTGGCCAGGATCTTGTAAACCGTCTGAACCTCGTCTGCTGTGAAACCAATCACTTTCATGGCATCAGCCACAGCTTTGAAATCAGCGTTGTCGTTGATGGATGACTGAAAAAAAGAGAAATAAAAGCAATTTAAAAAGCAAAAAAAGGCAACTAAATATAATTTTAACGATATTTAACGATCAACAGGCTGTTGAAGCTAATATAAAAGTTAGTATGCTCTGTCCTCTCAGGTCCTGCAGGCAGATTTTCTGTTCAGCAGTTAATTAAATCACAGGCTGGTACTGAACAGCGCTGCCTCGTTAGAACAAAAACATGAGTTGCTTGGACACACGCAGCAGAGAACCAGCGCCTCAGCTGTTTGCTTGCATTGTGCTCCATGATGTCAGCTAATTTGTTGCTGTCAAGTGATTTTGTTCCCATGTTTTTGTTCCGACTCATTAATCTCATGCAAAAAAAAAACAACAAAACAACAACAACAGCGACGTACAGAAGAGGGCCATATTGAAATGTTTTTCTAAGAAGCGCAGTGAGTTACCTTAATCTGCCCTCCGACTTTGATGTAGTTGTAGGCAGTTGGTTCTTTTTTGATATGAAGAGAGCGTAAGAGGGAATCAGGAGCTCCTCTGAGCAGCTGGTGGTGAAAAACACAGGATTTTTTTTTTTGTTTATGACATCACTGCTCTTTAAATTTATTATTAAAGCAGGTTTTATATCTTTGTTGGCTGCAGCTGATGACGGCACAAACTGCTGCAACACAATCCTTTCATCTGTTTGTACATATGTAAACTTGTGTGTGACAAAGCAGAAACCTTGAAATAAAAAAATAATAATAAACAGGTCCCCGATCGCACCACAGATCTAACACCAGGAAACCTTTTGCAAACAAAACAAAAGCTCGTAGGCAAATGACACAGGTGCACAGAAACTTTTATTTACCTGGTAGAATGAATGGAAGCTCCTCTCCCCTTCCTGTTGAAAAATGACCCTGGACTGTTGGGAAAATTAGAAAAGCAGGAAAAACATAATGTTAGTTTCCTGCTCAGAAACATGAGGTGAATATTCTGAATTCATTTATATAGAAACAAAAATCTGCAGCAAAAAACGATTCACGTAATAAATATAAAGACAATAAATAAAACTACACTTTATTTTGAAAGAAATATTCATGGGACTCAAATCAGGTGCAGGAAAACCAGTGGTGGGCAGCGCTAATCCAAAAATTAGCTCCGCAATTTCTAAAGCGTTTATGAAAATATTTAGGTCCGCAACTTCAAAAACACTTATGTCATAGAAAAATTAGCCGACGCTAATTTTAAAGCACAAGTTCAATTTGACAATTACTAGCTGACAATTCATGTACAATTTATGCACAACACTGCCAACTAGCGGTGTATGAACCCTTGTACAGATTAATCCTACAACCGCCGATTGCTGGGGATGTGACTTCCTGAAACAGAACTTTGGCTCATGGTGTAAAAATTAAAACGTTGTTGAGGCTTGCTAGTTCGGCTGCTTCTTTAAAAAGTTGTTGAGGCTTGCTAGTTCGGCTGCTTCTTTAAAAAGTTGTTGAGGATTGCTAGTTTGGCTGCTTCTTTAAAAAGTTGTTGAGGATTGCTAGTTTGGCTGCTTCTTTGTCTTTTTCTTTTGTTTGTTGTAGATTTTTCATTAAAGAAGCATCAATAACGTAATTTTAAAACTGTTTATTGGAAAAKTGAAGCGATGCATTTTGGGTYCACGATGGACTGACAGGAAACAAAAGCACAGGGAACAGGAAACTAGTATCCTCCCTTCAAAATAAGAGCTTGGATTTTAAAGTTTTTCATGTTTCCATTGGATTAAGATTTCCAGTTCACCTGAAACTCATCAGACTGAAGAAGTCTCTTGAAGGAGAGACGAAACGTTTCACTAAAGAAGAACCCATCCAGAGGACCTACTTATTTTTTCTTTTTGATTTTTTTCTACCTGGATTAGGACGTTTTCCATGTAGTTGCGCCAGTTGACCACTAGATGTCAGTCTTCACCAGGATAACATCTTTAAATCATTTCTGAGTCTAACACTGTTTGCCGATCGCTTTTGAGCTCCAGCGTTTAAACTTTTTTTTAAAAAGGAGCTCCGATTGTAAAGCAAAATAAATCAATACATACAAAATTTTAGTATGGATTACAAATGTTTACTGTTTTTGCTATTGCCTTCCTGCAACGTAAGCAGACATAAAGCATTGTGGGAAATGAGAACCGTGGCTGAATGCAACAGTCCACAAAGATGTATACCTTCTCAATAAGTGTTTATCTGGGAGGGGCGCTGTTGTATAMATCATGTGTGTTGTGAGTCATTGACAGCCATACCTTCTGCTGTTCAAGATAATYATGACTGATAGATAATTAMTTATTAGTGGTACTGCATTTTAATTTTAGAAAGCGCAAATCTGCTTATGAATTATAAAAATTGGTAAAACCGCTAAAGTGCAAATGAAATATTTAGGTCCGCAATTAGCYGATTTGCACTTTAGCGGGCTGGTGCCCACCACRGAGGAAAARGGTCCAGTTCTCAGACTTGAGTGTTTATTTACACACATATGAAAGGTTTTTACAGCATAGATATAGCCCCACCCCGGATATGATGTCATCCTCTAACGCAAGGAAGTGAGTTACAGAAAAGATTAAAGTATCTAAAACTCAGTTAATGAGTCGCAAAATTCCCTTCAGTTTGTTAGGAACAGTCTGAACTGGATCCGGCGCCACCTCACCTTCTCCAGCAGGTAGTTGTTGATGTGGCCCCCGATGGGATCCCCRTTGAAGTCGAAGTTGATGTCCATGTACTTGCCGAAGCGGCTGGAGTTGTCGTTGCGGTTGGTTTTGGCGTTGCCGAAGGCTTCCAGGACGCAGTTGGATTTTAGCAGCATGTTTTTGACTCTGCGGAGCAACAGAAGGATGTAAATAAACATTTCAGTTCCACKGAGTTAGCATTAAAAAACAAAACTCAAACTGGTTGCTCCAGGGTCGAGGTTTGATGAATAAATTTACACAAAACACTTTTTCCTTTTAAGAGAAAATWAAGTTCAGCCACTGACAGCTGTGACTAATAATGGAAATGTTTTAAATTATTTTATCATAAAAATCAAGTGTATTCAATGTYTTTTTCTCCCACATCAACATTAAATTAGGTCAAGACCTACATATGTWTAAACTCACGTTATAATAACCTTTATCTTGTTTGTTATGTTAGTTTGCAGATAAAAAACTGTTTTGCATATTTATTGTTCATATGGCTCACAGTATTTACCTGCTCTCACCTGTCGGCCTTCACTACTCTTCTCTAACTGACCCCCAATTTATTTACTTTTCATAAAGTTTATCTCATTGTATTCTTTAATCTATATATCCAGGTGATTAAGCTGCAGAATATAGAACAAATTGTTCTGTCATATCGCCACAGAAYCACACACCTGCTCAGTTACCTGAGACAATGACGACACTTTCCTGAGAAGTAACTACAACCCATCATTATCCGGAGTGTTGTATTACAAGTAGTGATATTAATACTTTAAATAGGATTATTTCACCCTGACACCAAGATTATAAAAAATATACATGTAAAGCTCAAATAATATAATATGAAAAGTAAAAAAAAGAAAGTATCTGAAACCCTCGAGGAGGATTTTATGAGTCCAGTCCAACAAAACAAATAAAACTCTCTCCTCCCTCTCTGTTAATATTTGCTCTTTGTGTGAAGAACAGCAGCTCACCTTTCAACTTCAGCCCMCTGATTAGGATTGGTAATAGCAGCTATGTATTGCATTATGTACTTGCTGGCCTCGGTCTTCCCCGCACCACTTTCCCCTGCGATAAAAAAAAAGAAAAAGAAAGAAAAACCATAAATTTTATTTGGCGTTGATGGTTTGCATGCCTTGCAAATGAAGCTGCCACAGCACAAGCGGTAACATTTACTAGTTAAGACGTTTTACATTTTTCTTCTCAAATGATTTGTTTATGATCTGAACCTTTAAAAAAAAAAAACCTCTGACGCTGTCGGCCCCGACCCGTAACCAAACCCTGCCTGCTGGTTCTACTGAATCAAAGCTGTGATTTCTTGGTTTTGTTCTTTAATACTGTAATATGTACAGGAAGACATTATTTGCCTGAGACGACGTGGGCTCAGGCTTTTGAAGGTCTCAGTTCCTGTGATGACCACTAAGAGGAGCTTCTTCCTCCGTTTGTTTTCWATCATGCAGCTTGTGACCAAACAAAACATTCATTTTTGACAATTTCAAAGAATAAAAAAAGAGAAAGCATCTATTAACTGGGACAGTTAAAACCGTTGTTTGAGCTTCTTTCCTGCASAGTGGGGGGCGGGTGTTCTTGTGTTACCTGAGATGACAATACAGGTGTCTTTGTTCCGCCTCTTCATGGCTTTGTAAGCAGCGTCGGCGATGGCGAAGAGGTGGGGCGGCCTCTCGTACAGCTCACGGCCTTTATACTGTTCGATGGTGTCCCGGCCGTAAACGTTCATGGCACGGTAAGGGTTAACGGACACCACCACCTCTCCGATGTAGGAGTAGATCCTCCCCTTTTCAAACCTGCAAAAATAAAGATACGAGTGAAAGTGACAAGGTGCTAAAGAAAGGCTTGGACTATTAGCTTAAACACCCAAAATTTTCTACTTTTTACAAAAAAATTAATAAATTAACAAAAAAATGATTAAATATCATTTATTGAAGGAATAAACATGTCCGATCACCCTATTTATCATGCAGAGTTTAAGCTCTACATCTAGAAGTTGTAATCATTTTTTACTGTTTCAAGGTGAAATAGTTTATTTGATTTGCCTGGTTTTCATGGCAGCAGGAAATGAAAACTAGTAAAATCTACAAAAAGCAGTCCCAGAAGTTAATTATAGACTAAAATTATTCAGCACAAGAGGATACGTCTCAATATATATTAATCTTTTACTGATCAACATCTCATCGTCCTCAGTTTATTCAGTCCAACACCACAGTCTGCAGAAACAATAAAAGATAACAGAACTATTAAACTGGAGTTATCTTTCAGAACTGAACTGAATGAAGCCGGAAAATAAATCATTAATTTCATTTATAATCTGAAAAAAACCTGCAGCTCAATAAAAAAAGCAACAAGAAGTTATGTTTGAATATAAGAAGTTAAAAATGAATAAATTTTAAAACTGTCTTCTCGTTTAGGTTTATTTTTTTTTATACACATCGATGCTTTTCCTGTCGGGGTTTGTTAGATTGGAGCTAAACTCCAGTTAAGTCTTAGWATTGCTTATTAATAACCAGTCATGATTGTTTTTGTTTCCACCTGACACAGCACAAACACCTGACTTTCCCAGCATCCCCTCATGCTGTGGTTTTTAGACTTTGTATGAAACAGCAGCTCATGTAAAAACATATTTATGTTGTAATGTATGATCTGAGCAGTGCTAAATTAGCAAAGTGTTTATGTGAGGAGGTGAATCGTTCACTAGATTTACAGTTTAGTCACATTCTAATAAAGGAATGGGTTCATTCAAAGCAGCGACGTAATTCATCCAGTTATTATATGTATACCAGCATCCTGTTGAGATCGATTCATATTRATAAACTCTTTCCTGTCTCACTTCGTGATTCTTACTTCTTCACAATCASACCATCTTTGTATTTCTGCCATTCTCTCTGCGTGAAGCCAGCAGATGGATTTCCTTCCTCTCCCAAAACGACTATCATCCAGAGAAGAAGAATAGTTTCTTTCTTCACAGCTGCCAAGCTTCTGCTGCCACCTTATTTTATTTTTTACCAAAACACTTCTATTAACTGTGTGAAGTTGAAGAGATGGTAGCTTTGAAGAGCTGCCAGATAAATGAAACCCAGCGTTCATGATTTTTCTGAAGACTCGCCAGGAGAGGATGTACTTTGTCTCAAAATAAGAGTCAAGTTTAGAAAGATGCAGGTTTTTTGCTGTGACCTTGTCTGTTCTCACCGTGAAGCTGAACCTTATGATCAAGATGTCCTCTTCTTTATGTCAGAGCTCTAAATCTGTGCGATCTGTTGCGTTCAGGACGCTTTGAACCAGAGAAACTAACTTAATGAAAAAATGTGAGGTGAAACGTTTAGCCTAGATTAGCTCATCCTTGTGTGGTTACTTTGCGTGAGTGACGTCATGCACACATTAGCACTGTGTCATGAGTCCTGGACAAGGTGGGACGACCCGTGTTGGACATAAACATGACGACGTTAACCTAACACAGGGGTCTGCAACCTTTATGATCAAAAGAGCCATTTCTGCTCCTTGGCTCACTGATAAAATGTGTCAGGAGCCGGAAAACAAGCTACAACTGTAATTATCAAGTGGCGGTCCGTGGGTCTTTTCGAGGCCTTTTCTGGAACCTTTATGGCCAGTGGAAGTGACATTATAAAACTAAAAAATATATTGTGAATTTTATTATTTATTATTTCTGCACATCAGGTCAAATTATAAGACCAGATTCATGTAAACAAGTTTTTATAGTTATATAGTTTTTTTTTTTACCAAATTTCATAAAAACTAGTTCAACTGAACTATATATATTTTTTCTAATTTTTATTATTATGTAGTTTTCAAATTATTTAAAGGTAATTCTGATGGATTTGAGAGAAAGATCATAGAAATAAGTTGGATTATTTAAGTAAATACCAGGCTAGCATGAGCTAAC